ATTCACGAAGTCGATGTCCCTACTCTCACTTGCTCTCGAGTTCTTTTGTCTCATCAACTCCCTCAACATACATGTCCGTGCTCGGCACATTCCAGGGATATCCATTGTCATAGCAGACTCCCTGTCCTGACCGGACAGACCATCACCACAATCGTTCCAATGGATTTGTCAACTTTATCGGGCCCCGGAAGTAGACCTCTTCGCCGCACGATTCAACACTCAACTATCCCGATTCGTATCTCCCATCCCCAACCCTCGGGCTTGGGAGCACGACGCGTTAGCGATCTCGTTGGAAGGTCTCAATGCCTAAGCCCTTCCCCCTACAGGGCTCCTTCCCCGGACCTTCAGAAGGTAGCAGCCACCGATCACCTGTCTCTGATTTTGGTCGCGCCCTATTGGCCAACGCACAACTGGTTCGCCGACGAACGATTTCATCCTCTTCCGCTCCGCGACGACCTCCTCATTCAACCCCACTCTCGATGGTTCCATCAGTCTCTGACAATGCTCCATCTTTGCGTTTGGCGCATCTGCAGAAGTCCCTTGTAGCAAAAGGTTGGAAACTTCGGGGGTCCACGTTGGCAACCTACCTCGCGGCTATTAACTCCAGCATCGCCACCACTTCTGGTGAAAAGGTTCCACGGTTATGGAACTACAATCGCTCATCTGTTCCTACAAATTAGCTGACCAAGCTGCTCATTTTTGGCCTCCTTCGTGGGACCTAAATGTTATTCTTGAACACCTGGTTTCCGGTGATTACGAACCACTGACGGAGAAGGATTTCCAGACATTTACGCTGAAGACCGTATTTTTGTTGGCTTTAGCCACTGCCTCACGGGTTAGTAAAATTCATGCTTTGGATGTACTAGGGTCCAGTTTTACAGATCCGGAAGTGGCAAAGTGTTCCTGGGGCTTCGTTGGGATTTTGTGGCAAAGAACCAACTTCCCGGACAACCGGACCGGCTATTTACGATGCCCCCGCTCTCAGCTATTTTGAGATCGAATGACCTCTCTTTATGCCCATTTCAAATATATTTCGATGCGTCGCGCCTCCACAGACGTTCCCGGAAGAGACTTTTCATCCCATTCTCAACCATGTCTACATCGGAAATTTCTCCGACGATGCTATCCTTCTGGCTCCGCTCCATCATCCTGCGAGCTTATACTTTCGCCTGGCTGCCTCCACCTACAACGTCCAATCCTCATGCGGTTGCTTCCACCATGGCCCTACCACAGTAACTGCACCCTTTAAACCATCATGGAAGGGTGCTTATGGAAGTTGGATACTGTGTTTGCGTCCCACTACCTGCGTGACATTACAGTCACAGACGTACAAGGGCTCCACAAGTTTGGTCCGTTAGTATTGGCTCAACAGCTGTCTCGCCCCAGTTCACGCAGATAATACACAGTTATACTACGTGGGTTACAAGTGTATATACAGAATAAATCATGGAACATTTACATGGTATTACGCGTTTTTTATGTTTGATTTTCCCAGATCGAGTCCCTTTTGGAGGGTGGATTAGCTCGTCTGTAGAGACCTATTCGTCTAATTTACGAAGTGACCGATCGTATACATTCAGTCACAATCGTACAAGGGCTCGACAAGTTCGGTTCGTTGGTGTTGGCAATACAACTGTCTCGCCCAAGTTCACTCAGAACATAAACTGTTATACTGCGTAATCCTTGCAGGTTACAATTATATATTCAGAATAAATCAATAAAAACATTTACATGTTTTTTGATTGTTCGGGTTTCCCAGATTGAGTCCCTTTTGGAGGGTGGATAAGCTCATCTGTAGAGACTTTTTAGTCTTAATTTACAAAGTCACCATTCGGGGCAGCCGATCAAAACAAAACAAAACAAACACAACAACAAAAAAGATTGGTGTCCCGAACCTTTATTCCGCTCACCTCTGCCTAAGGTATCTGTGATGTAGGGTTTTGGTTCGAAGGTCCATTGCTATGGAATATTGTCGATCGTTCCTCTTCTTGTTTTTGGTTCGCTTCATACACTCGAACGTGTTTGATAACCATGACAAAGCGTTAAAAGAGTTACCAAACCTAAGGCACTCTATGGTCCGTGGGAGATAGTTGCTGTGTTTTGTTTGAAGAATCGATGCCCTTCCAGGATCGATTTCAAGTCGTCTGCCGTTTCGCTTATGCGTTTACAGCTATGCGGTCGTTCTATATGTATGATGACATACGGGAAAAAACGTTTGGCATGTATACCCGATCTCATGCTGTTTCGTTTGAGAAATGTATCGGGATCATTAACACCGATTGATCGTGTGTATTTTTTCCCGCTCGCGAGTTCATGTCTTTAGACAGTTTTTCAAAAGTCTGAAACAAATTCAAAATTACACTGTCTACAAACAGCTTCCTCGTGCATATCTCATGGTTGTAGTCTATACAGGCTAGGGTATCTGCGGCCCACCATCCAACCACGGGATAAATTGCAAAGTGTGAGATAGGATAAGTTTAAAAATTTGGAAAGTTTAGTATAAATTGTATATTTATATACTTATCCTATCTCACACGCGATAGGCCCACCCGACCATCCCCACATCTCATTTACTCTAGCCTAATAAGCTCTGCGAAAGAGAATGAATTGGTAGAGGCACACACATGGTCAGTTCAAGCAGGCCTGGCGTGCACGAGAGGCACATAATTGACCTAGCTTTTGGATGTAACCATTGAGATGCAGGGGGGCTTGGGTGGCTATTTTTAGTTTAAGAAGCTGGAAACATGATTCAAGCACCTTCCCACATAGTATCGAAGAAGAAGAGAGAAATGCAAAATGTGAGATAGGATAAGTATATAAATACAGTATGACCAGAAATTATTGAGAATTTAAAGATTGTAATTTTTTTATTTTTTTTCACTCATTTCTCCCGTATGAAATGTGAATATTAGTACAACATAACTCTAGCTTCAAAGACAGGTGAACACCTAGTATTTTGTCAAGTCACCATGTGCAGCAATGCAGGCTTCAAGGCGGCGGGGCATACTACTGATCAAAGAAGTCGTGGTTCATGCTGTTACCACCCCTTCCTTCATTTCAGCAATATTCGTCAGATTGCTTTCATTGACACTTTCCTTCATTAGCCCCCAAACATTTTGTATTGGATTTAGGTCAGGGCTGTAGCTTGGCCAATCTAATAATGTCATATTTTGGGTCCGAAAACCAGGCCTGAGAATGCTTTGAACGATGTTTTGGGTCGTTGTCTTGCTGGAAAATCCAAGAATTTCCATAGAATACTTGAGCAGATGGAAGTAAATGTATTGAGAATATCTGTGTACCGCTCACTGTTCATATTCCCATCAAATACACACAGGGGCGTTGCCCCTAACACAGATATGCCACCCCACACGGGAAAATTTGGACTGTACTTTGGGTGCTGATACAAAGGTTTTTCAGTTTGTTTGGTCCAGAATTTTAGTGTATTAGGAAACAGCCACACAGAACTTTCATCTGAGAAAATCACATTGTCCCAGTTAAAATTTCTATGCTCTAAGCACCAGTTCAACCTTCGCTCCTTTTGTTCAGGTTTCATGATCGGTGATGGAATTCCTCGACTTTTCTCCCCACCTATTGCATGCAGCTCAGTTCTAATTGTCTCCTTACAGACAACCACAGTTCCTCTATCAATCATATCCAGGCTTAAGTTTTCTAAACTCCTTCGTTTGTTTTTAGAAACAAGAATACCAAGCCGCCTCCTGTCACCAACTGTCAATTTTCTGGGCCTACCTGCGCCTCTCTTGTGCTCAATCTCATCTCCACTTTCAATATTATTCAAAACACGATAAACAGTGGACAAAGGGATGCCTGTTCTACTTGAAATCACTTTAGCTGATCTGATGTCCTTGTTATGATACTCTAAAATCAACCTCCTCTTCTCTAAATCATCCATACTGAGGATCACTGAAAATGACTGCTAGCAAGTAAACATTGGGGGATAACTCTTGACAAACTAATGAAATAGGACTAACTGAGTTGTCTCTCTTGAATGAAACCAAGCACTTGATAGCTGGTCAGTGTTTTTTATACTAGATATCCACTTAAACATATCCCTAAAATTCTCAAAAATTTCTGGTCATACTATATACAATTTATGCTAAAATTTCCACATGGGTGCTGCACAAGTGATTATCAGGTACACGATGTGCTGTAACATACATGTTTGTTAGTTTAGGGCCGCACTCGGCGATATTCCAGCTATATGAAGGCGGTCTGTAAATCGAGTCTGGACCAGACAGCCCAGTGATTGACATCATGAGCATCGAACCGCGCAATTGGGATACGATGACATGCATCAACCAAGTCAGTGAGCCTGACCAGCCGATCCCATTAGTCGCCTCTTACGACAAGCATAGTCGCCTTTTACAGCAAGCATGGGTTGCTGAAGACCATTCTACCCTGGATCTTCACGGGTTGTCACATACATGTGATGAATGAGATATCATTGACGAAAAGCCGGAAAGTGTGCATTCCTGTCCTCTTATAACTGAATTTCCCATCTCTTTCACAATAGACTGCCTCTGTGGTCTAGTGGTGGAGCGTCCACCCAGAAAGCAGAAGGTCAGGCATTCGATCCCCGACCGCGTCATACCAAAATACGTTAAAAGATGGTACTTGTTGTTACCCTGTATGTCGCTATATAAGTGCAATAATGTTTGACGCGACGTTAAACCCAATTTCACCTCACCACCTCTTTCACAATAAAAGCGACAAAATCCTTCCTATATTTATCAGAAATCTCTGCCAAAAGAATGGAATGTACGATTCCGTACTGTACTGTATCATGATCATGTGTTTATGAATCACTATCAAATAGTGATGATACCACTATCTTTAAACAAAGAAGTAAATTTAAAGAATCCAATCATACTATGCAAGATGACTAAGCACAATCGGTACACTAATTATATATAACGCGTGCAACCACCTCGTTCTGGGTTCATCCCAAATTGTGGAACTAATGTCTATGCTGTCTGTTTCAGGTGGAATGAATTGGGGTGATTGTCGTCGTAACAGCGTTGGCGAGGGTGGTCGCAAGAACGGGTATGTGCATCTTACATTGCTTGACAGACTTACAGGGGACCGCGATCTGCTCTTTTTTGACTGAAGCATGAAACGTCCTCTGACTCCCTCAATTCTGCAATTGTATCATTGATGTGGGAAGGTCTGGTAGTTAAAGCGTTCCCTCATCACACTGAACACCAAGATCCCTTCCCTTCCCTTCGTGAGTGAGGCTCCTAATCTGATCACTGTACCTTTCCCTAAAATGATAGCTTGTTGATTTTAAAAATGGTGGTTTTACAGTTGATTATATTGACTGTTATGAATACCTTGGACTATGGTTAAATGTGAAGCTAGACATGAAGAAGACTGTTAGAGAATTGTATAAATCTGCGAGTCACACCCTATCACCTTTAATTACGAACTGCTATGTAACGGGAGGCATGTCATATCCTGTTTTTAAGAAATTAAATGAAAACCTTGTTGAACCTGTGTTATGGATCAGTGATTTGTGGTATAAATACTTATACAGAAAAAATCTTTTACATAACAAAACTTGCAATTCTTTTCATGGTGTCACTAAGTGATCAACTAATGTAGCTTCCAATGGATATATAATTTTTAAATCACCTGTTCTCAAACCACATATATACATGTATTTAGACTCTATATAAAGCTTAGTGATAATGCTGATACTCGTTACGTGTTTAGCTAGAGACTATTTAGGCCAAAATCTAAATTAAACAGTGGAGAAATAGACTTGTAAAAATTGCCTATAATAATCATCTTAATGACATTTCACCTTATTCAACGTAATAAGCGACCAGGGCGCTCTCAAAAATAGAAATAGGGGGCTCTTATTAGAATGTTATTTTGGTGAAAAAAACAGAGTTGAAAGATAAATTTCGTGGTTTATGCTGACAGCCTGAAATGTTTATGTACGACTGATGTATTTTTCAAGAATTTAATGCCCATAATTAAGGATGCATATAATACACGAGTGTGTATTATACACAAATAAATAAGTCTTGTGTACATTGATCAATCGAAAGCGGTGCTAATTGGGATTGTTCACTAGCCAATATCTGAGCAAATGTCGCCGTGGGTGCTTATTAGAGCGGGGAGCTTATTACGTTGAATACGGTAATTGAAAATATCACGAAAGATTGAGCCGAGAATGGTGGGATGGACAGGGCTCGAAAAATTCACTCCTCCGCTCGTATTGACGAGTGGTAACTGATGTCAGGCAAGCTAAAATTATCAAATACTCGTCCTCATGGACGAGCAGATACTTACAGCAGTTTAATTTATATTTGTTTTGATGTGCGATATATTGACACGGAAATCACGGCCATTCAGCCAATCGATATTTATGTCACGTATAGCATTAACAATTAGGCTGAGGTTTGTCTCTTAATGTATCTTTGCGCAGGCTTTGCGCTGAAACCAGTCTTTATTTATTGATGTAAGCGGCCGGTTGCTAACTAAACCAAAATGGCGGATATGAGAAAGTTGACTGCACAGGCGGAGAAACGAAAACTTTGTAAAAAACAATACGATACACAAAAGCGAAAACGTGTTGTACAATCTGCATGGTTGAGTGAATTTGAATGGGCAAACTTTGACGAAGATGACAGCAAGTTGTATTGGACTGTCTGTCGAAAATACCCCAAACTATCTGATCCCAAAAGGGGACTTGTAACTGGTTTACATCATAATTTCAGAAAAGAAACTTTGAAATTTCACGCTAAAAGTAGGAAGCATATTCAGTGCCGTGAACATGATAAAAAAAATGACAAACCCCAGACTGCACAGTTTGCCAAGTCAATGCAAAAAGTTGACGAAACAAACAGTAAAGTTTATGAAAAACTATTCACAACAGCCTACTATGTTGCAATAGAAGGGGAACCATTTTCAAAATTTCCAAGTTTTTGTAAGTTGCAGTCTAAGAATGGTGTAATGAGTGACAGACTGATGTGTCTTTCATCATAACTTAACTGTTCAAAATAACTTAACTTATTATTCCTTAATTTATTCAATATTGTCTTACTGTGGAAATAAAAACAAACAAAAATCTTGAAACAATTTATTTACTTTGTTTTCAGTGGTTGAAGGATACATGATACATGATATTGTCTGTATTTATTGTTTTATTGTGTCCCATAAGCTGTGTAGGTGGACGTTACTTATGCATTAAATTGAATGTTTGTACATACCTAGTTTTTGTAAGGTATGAAACCACAGCTTTTGAAATTTAATCCTGTCATTACACAATCTGGTAATAAAAACGTTTTCATTGTACACCTTGAATTATGTTTATAATCTATTTTATAAATTTTATTCAAAATCTTCAATATTGTTCACATTAATATCTTTTGACTGGACAGGCATCAAAACAAATCGCGATATATTTCATTGATAAAGAGTGTTTAAAGACTTGATGGCAAAAAACCCTCTTAACCGAGAATGATTTTTTTCTACTTTCTTGATTTCTTTGCCCAAAATCCTGATAACATTTGCTAAGTTCACACTTTGCAATGGCATTCTCTCTCATTAACATCATAAAGTATTATAATAGCGTCATATGTAGTACTTTAATTATATTCATGGTATTGTATCATATGAGTATATTAAGTGAATGACATTGTTTTGACTCTTTCAGGTCTGGCTGTCCATGTAAGTATTATAAGACTGGCCAGATAAGGATCACACAGACCCTTCACATTATCGCCCTTTTGTCTTAACTAGATGTGTCTGCAACACCATGGACAATATGATTAATGGTTGACTGGTATGGCACCTGGAATCTAACAGCCTCCTCACTGACATTTAGTGTGGTTTCAGAGGACACAGGAGCACTGTTGACCATCTGGTCTGACTCCTTTGGTATCCAACAATCTGTCTCAATTTAATATTACGTGTTATCCGTAGTTCGAGACAAACGGAGTGCCAATATTAGACCATAGCTACTATGATCTGTTTCGACATAAAAGGACATCGAATTACAATGTTTCACTGAAGATACTTCTCTATTTCAGGTACTCACAAGCCACACTGTAGATGCAAAGGGTGAGTATAGGCCAATCAACAGAGAATCATGCTAAACCCAACTCATCCATACAATCACTCACTGAAGCACATGTCTATAACCTAACAAGCATGAAATACTCATGTCCCCCGCCATAATGACATATCCAGTTATGTGCAAAGCATTAGCCGGAAACAAGCTCTACCGCTATTTTCAGTCTAAGTCAAAGTCGTTGCCATGGAAACTAAAAAAATAATATTTAAAAAAATCCCAATCTATCAAAAGGCACCAGTTCTCACTAGACCTATCTATGTGTTAAGTTTGGTTAAGATATCTCTCATGGATATGCTCCAGAAATGAAACGTGTCGGACGGAGGGACAACACCCATTTATATATCTCAGAGCCAACACCAGCTGTTATTTTCCCTATATAAGTGGGTATCTTGTATAAAAGCAAAGTCATAAGAACATTTCTTTTTAATGACTAGATTTTGTAAACAGAATGCAGGTTTGTCACATTCATGGGGGAAATAGCGTAATATATTCTGAGAATTGTTCTCAAACTTGCAGGCATTTACCTGGGTCTGACACAGAAACCGAAAGTGGCGTATGCAATGGTTAGCATGTTTAGGACCGATCGTTTGATATTGCGTGCGTGCGTGCGTTTTGTATAGAGACTGCATATTTTTTTCCTGTTACAATGAGTCTCACTTATTTTTTTTGTGCCAGTCAGAATCATGATTATTTGATTTTCTGCGACAATATATTTTTGGAGCATTTTCTGAAAATACCAATGTTCAATTTTACTTCGCAATAGGGTAAACTTTAATGCAAAAGTCTGTACACCCACCTCAGTCATTGGTAGCTCACATGTCATTTTAAGCTGTACCACAATTCTGTATCCGTATTTTTTTTCAGAAAAATGCCAACTGAACCAACAAACCAATGCCCAATACAGATAGACCCATTTGGTAAGTAAGAATTACCAAAACAATGCTGTTCGAGTGAGTGAGTATGGTTTTGCGCCGCTTTTAGCAATATTCCAGCAATATCACGGCAGGGGACACCAGAAATGGGCTTCACACATTGTACCAATGTCGGGATATACTTGGTCTTCGGCGTGACAAACGAACGCATTAGCCACTAGGCTAAGTAGAGAATTAAAGAATTGATTTTTTTATGTATAAAAGAAACGCATCGGTCTTACATCCATGTACTCTGTGACCACGTGATCAGGTTTAGGTATAGGATGTACGTTGTAAGAAAGACGAAGAATGCCAAATAGCCACAAATAGGACATATGTAATATCCGAGAGGTAAATTACATGTGACTTTTTAAAATTGCATTTCTGTTGCAGGTGGCGACCCATCAGAACGTGAAGGGTAAATGATTTCTTGTAATAAATTTAAGTGAATTAATTATTTGATTGTGGGAAAAACGCTGTGGCATTAACATCTATGGGAAATGGATGCTGTTTAATCTACCTGCTGGAATGCAAAAATAAAACCTGCAAATGCCTTGTTTCATCAAAAAGAACAAAAAACTGTCATGGAATTAGAAGTAGTAGTACTGAAAGAGAGCCTTACTTTCTATAATTGGTGTAATCCCAATTTATTAATCTGACAAGGGAACTTGTGTAAAACATATCCTTACTTTGTACCACAATTTCACAACTGTCTCCCGATCTGATTTTCTACTGAACTTCAAACACACCAATAAAAATTTGGGGTCCATTATATCTCTAGATAATAATAATTGTATCAGTAACACCATTCCACCATGGGGATTCTTGGGCAAAACATGGCTTATTTAATCATCATTTGTCATAATCGACGACTAATTGGGATAAAGTGGTGACCTGGCAGAGTGTCGTGGGTTTGTCTGGTAGATTATAGTAGATTATAGTTGACTATAGTTGACTATAGTTGACTACTGTGTAAAAGAGAATACACACATACACACTTGATAGTAACCACCCATAATTTGTAATGTGATTATACGACAGGCTAAAAGAAAGAAACAGCAACCCTCCCAAAGAAGATCTTCCTGCACCGAGAACTGAGAATAGTTTGACAAGGGTGGAAGATGATGTGAATGACGCAATCAACGGTTTTCTGATATCAGAGAAGAAAAAGAAGAGGCACAGACCTAAATTGAGGAAACCAGAGCCAGTGAAAGATGCCCCATTCCCAGAACCCGTGGTGTTCATTTATCGAAAGCATATGCCTGATGAATCAAATGCCTGATTCACCTTTATATAAATGTCATCGTATCCCAGCTGCGTGGATCGATGCTCATAATGTCAATCACTGGATTGTCTGGTCCAGACTCGATTATTTACAGACTGCCGTCATGTAGCTGGAATATTGCTGAGTGCGGCGTTAAACAACAAACAAACAAATTAGATATATGTATAGGGGTTGCATCGGACAAATTATGAATATATCCGAAAGTGGAACAAATGATTATTTTTGGGGAATCCACGAAGCTGAAACCTTATATGGAAAGGTCAAAAATGAAAGTTATGTAAATATTAAAATAAACATCCTCCCCATAAAACAAAGAAACTGTGAATGATACCAGGTAGTTTTTGTTAAGTGAGTGAGTGAGGTTTTGTACCCATGTCGGGAATCGAACCCGGGTCTTCGTCGTGACCAGCAAACGCTTTAACCATTAGGCTACCCGACCGCTCCAGTTTTTGTTAAGACATCATGGGTTTCGTGATCAACGTACGCTTGTTTCCTATATGATGAAACATAACATTGAGATATTGTACAACGTAACAATTTCAAGTCCTTTGCCAAACAGTCAAATAAAACTACACGTGTAAGCTCATTGCAGTCACATTGGTAGCACTGAAGTCAGCTGTACAAAAACAAACCAGATCAAAATTAAAACAAATGATTGTTCAGAAGGTTTATTAAAACGATAATACTTTAAACAACTAGGAAGCCAATCTAGACCAGCTTGGGGATCAGGGGAAACGGGTGGCCCAGTTGTCTAAGTTGCCGCATTTCGCTGTGCAGAGTTGCGTCTCTTGGGCACGCCAGAAACCAATGATTGTGGGTTCGAATCACGGTTCGCCCCGATTATGTTTCTAGGTTTGTCAGCACCATACCCTGCTTGTGGGTTTCACCGAAGTGGTAAACGTCTGAGACCTGCATCACTTCGGGCTTTCCTCCCGCATTAAGCTGACACGCCGCGATATATCTGAAATACTGTTAAAAGCGGCGTTAAACCCAACTCACTCACTCACTACTGGGGATCAAGGGGATCAAGCTTACAGTGCTTCTGCCTCCTGCGGGATTTATGTCATCACTTTGGATTGTTCAACGTTGTGCTAGCCAATATACTAAATTCTAAGAACAATCAAGGCATTACAACACCAGTTTTAATTTAATACTTCAGTTTAGATGAACTCGCATGCAACTGTCGGGAACAATAAATTTACATTTCTTGAACCTCTACCTGGTAACCCTTTTATAAGTTTCAGTTGCTGATTTCAAAAAACTATTCCAAAATAATTCAGATAGTCAAAAGTTATCAAATAAATAAATCATATTTCACTTTAGAAACAAGTTGTAAACAAGCACTGACATTACTATAAAGAATCTTTAACGAAATCTGCTCAGACAAGCAAGATATGTTTGGCAATGAATTTCTTCGCCATCAATACATATTCACCTGTAAAACGTTCATCATTAAAGCGACATGCTCAATAATGACTTCTTTGTGTGCAGATTAAAAACCCAAGTACGTATATGTTTAACCTAGTGCGGGTTTAAATAACCTACCCTTTCTGCATCAAATTATGAACATATTCCTTGATGTATTGTTAAAAATCACTGCATCGAATTACAAGGTGAGAGATTGGTTTATAAGAGCTGCATGCTCACCTCTTGCATTAACCAACATACATGTACCAACATGACTAGGTGACCAACAAAAGATGTCGTATTGGCCAGTGGCAAGAGTATCATATAATTCTAAAATATCAAGAAGTAGTGGATGAGTTGACGTGACAGCCTGTTGGCATGGCAAAGAATCAAAGAAAATGATAAAATGCTTACATATATTTTGCCTTCTGATATATGCTAAGGCTGTAAGGCTGTTCGAATATTGAGCCACTGACATTTTTTGACGGCATTGTCAACATGGCCACCAGCTTTGGAACCATCCTTAAAAATAGAAGGTGAGAATCATTTTCGGATCCTAATTGGACGTATTCTTGCTGAAAGATTAGTTGTTTAGTTGCAGACTTTTTCACATTAGTTAGAGTGAGGTATACCTTCGATTTGACCAGTTGCCAAGGAGGTGTAGACAGTTAACGACATGTGAGATAATATCAAGAACCACATTTGTTGCCATTATATTTGATCTAGCTTGAAATGAATCTTTAAAGAGAGGATGAAAGCGCAACAATATGCTAGATTTGATGTGTTTGATTTTAATTTAGTGATGTATTGTAATGCAAGTTTTATGAGATGTACAAGAGCAGGTTCATCTGCCTCTACATACAGACTGTCAACAGGAGAGGTCTGGAAGTTGTAATACAGAGCATCAGTACCTGATGATGCAGTGGGTCTGGTGTCTCTATGATGTAATTTTGCTATGTTACAGGCCCCAGCATAAATCATGGAACCATATTCCAGTTGAGAGCGGATCAATGATCTGTACAAATGGAGAATGGTTTTCTGGTCCCTCTCCAGTTCATTATGACTTTCAGTAAGTCAAGCGCATTCAAGCACTTAGCCTCACGATATTTGATAGGAGACAATAAATATTAAGGGCCAATCTCATTGAAATCAGATCTAAGTTCTCGCTGCCGCTGAACAAAGATCTGAGGACATCCCATTACGGGTCACGTCAGAACCTTTCGCGAACTTCGACCGACCACTGAAATGACAAACAAGAAGTCGACATAAGACAATTAGAAAGCAGATTTCAACCGACTTCCATTTAAGACTACGCATGAAAAATATGTTGATGCAGTTCTCGATTAACATTTTGAAAACTGAACAAACGACCATTCATGAATGTCTAATGTATGGTTAGGATTGTATAGCAGCGCCACCCACATACTGTGCAACGCCTCCTCCGTTCAAATGTTTATCCCACGGAAGCGAGAGATAGACGATACTTATGGCGGAATCAGTCATTACTGTTGTTCGGAATACCCCGTGTTAACGTTTTCGAGGTTGCATGATTGAAAAACACATTCCGACTGTCACTTTCATAATCTGCTAAGCGACGCTTTGATTGGTCGGATGTAAGGTCGTTCTGACATGACCCGTAATTGAATGTCCTCAGATCTTTGTTTAGCTAGAACTAAGATCTGATTTTAATGAGATTGGTTGAGGGCCCGGCAGCCATAAGCCCCACAAACGAAGCCTCTCAAACATTTTGAATGGGGTGCCAGACAGAGTGTTTGATTTGTTGATATTTTTCCACAGACATGTATAATTAGTTTCAGCTTTGAAAAATTCGAAGCCGTAAGAAAGCGATTATTTGTAGATTTTTATTTGACACAAGCGTAGCAATAGTGTTCATACATGTACCTCGACAAGAGACAATAACATTAACGGAAAGTGAACCATCAACTTTATCACTTAAAACCTTTGAAAGACCATTCACTTAATACTAAATAAAGTGACAGGCAAAATGCTGCCTTGCGGAACACCCTAGTTCTGATTTTAGTGATCTTAAAATTGGGATACAAAATTTGGTAGACAGCCTCTCAAACCAAATTCATGTAAGTCCTTTAAATGTCTTGCTTCTAGGTAGGCTTCCCAAGGAAGAAAAAGATTGATACAATGTGTTGTCTGTTTACAATATCATTATTAACAAAGAATTCTTATCGTACAAAATGATCAATAGTACTGATATTTTTTTCCGGAAACCACTTCGAATATTTGTAAATACAATATTGGTTTCAAAAATACCAAACTAATGTATTTTTATTCACTATTCCTTCCACGATTTTACAGAAACAGATTGTTAAAGACACAGGGCGGTAATGAGAGGGTCTTTATGATTCCTTATACATCTCTGATGACGTCATACTTTTGTTAAGCACAAAACTATAACCTGTTAGCACGACCTCGGCGATATCATGTTTGAGATCATTAGGTCTATCTGGGATTTAGAGACCTCGTATTAGGTCTTTCTTAGATTTAAAGAACTCATAGGAGGTCATTTGGAATTACAGAACTAACTGCATTTTAACCAATCAAATATACTTGCTACCCCTGGGTATGAAATTTTTCTTTTTGGAAGAAAGACCTGATGAGTTTGGAAGCAGTTGAAATTTGGACTTTGTGTTTCAAACATCCAATAATCTAAAATGGACAAGAAAAGAAACCTTTTCATTCTGGAATCGAACGTGCAACCTCATATATCTTGTTAGGTTTTGTAACTCACTGTTTTCTCACTGAGCCACCAGAGCAGGAGGTGAAATTTTCTTCAATTTTAGTTGTCATAACTTAATTGTCTATGCTGCACGTGCTTTTTTTTTCGCACGCTTTGATCGCATTCCTTTTACACCGCCATAGGCTGTATTGTTTCACAATGAGATGTTTTCTTATTTTCTCTTTTATTTCTTGCATTTAGACGGTTTTATAAGCCAGAGAAAATACAACCCCTCGGATTTTTTAGCGATGAGTTCATTACGAAAAAAGCATTGTAACGGTATGTCTTTATGTAGCTCAGGTGATGAAAATATGTCTTTAACAGAAATAAAATTATTTTTCTTCTCCTGTTGTTTCTCATATTTTTCTATATATTATTCGAGACCACAATGTTATTCGAGACCACGGCGAATGTTTAGCCTGAGCCTCTGCCTGGAAATTTATCGAAAATATATTGTCTCAAATAAATATATTTATGCCTCAGACTGTTGAAAAAGAATTGCTTGCTACAAAAGTTACATTGTTGCAAGGTCTTTTTGTTTTAAAAAATGCAGACTCAAATTATTAAATAAACAAAAATTATTTGGTTTTGCAGCTGCAGCTTAAAAAATATCTAATTTCAATAAGAATCATATCAATCCTGCAACATTACCATCAGTCCCAACGTCCTTTATTTAACTGGTCTTAAAATGGCTGAAATAATGCCGATGTGACGTTAAATTTTAATTCACTCACCCATGACTTTGCCGCCACTACCAACACCTATTACTATCTGCCATTTGTAGTGGCCTTTCTGCAAAAGACTTGGTTTTGTTTGTCTGCTTGTTGTTTAACGCCGCACTCTGTAATATTCCAGCTATATTGTCGTAAGAGGCGACTAACGGGATCGGGCTCGCTGACTTGGTTGATGCATGTCATCGATCTCAACTGCGTGGATCGATGCTCATGATGTCAATCACAGGATTGTCTGGTCCAGACTCGATTATTTACAGACTGCCGTCATGTAGCTGGAATATTGCTGAGTGCGGCGTTAAACAAAAACTTAATCCAGCGACTCTGACCACCTGATCCATGAAATCAGTTCTATCCAAGAATGTCCACACGTGTCAGAATATAACTGTTGATTGGTGAGGACAGACAGCTAATACAGATCCTTCACAGGCTAGCTTGTCAGCCCAGGGAGTGCACAATCAATCAACAATAACAATATATGTTCCAGGTTTATTGAAGGTATCTTCCATACAATACGAGGTGTACAATTTCAAGATATAAAAGCGTTCATTTTAGCAATATCACAGCGGGGGACACCAGCAATGGGGTTCAAACATTATACCCATGTCAGGAATCGAACCAGGGTGATGAGCGAACCACAAGGCTACCTGACCTCCCATTCTTGGTTTGACGTGTCCAGGGATCGAACCGCGCGGCATGGTAACAACAAGTACCATCTTTTAACGTCCTTAGGTATGACGCTGCCGAGAATCGAATCGCGTGGCATGGTAGCAACAAGTACCATTTTTTAACGTCTTTTTGTATGACGCTGCTGGGGATCAAACCGCGCGGCAGCGTAACAATAAGTAACATCTTTTAACGTCTTTAGGTATGACGCTGCCGGGATCGTATCCCTGACCTTCTACATCTCGGGGAGGAAGCTCTACCACAGAGGCGGTCGAGAGTG